GACAGGATTCACCAGAGACAGAGTGGGGAGCAGCACAGGCCAATTGACTGAAATACACTGCTGAGGGGAGCAGCGGGGACGCAGGAGAGGTCTGCTGTGCCATAGGTGGGTCCGCTTGCTGACCTGGCTCCAACTCAGGCCTCAGGGTGGCAACCCTGAGACTTTTTCCCCTAGGCCACCGTGAAGGCCCAACAACCCCAACTTGACATGTACCATGTAGACTGCCTCTGCTGGGTAGTTGGGAAGTGCCTAAAGTGCTGCCTTATTTGGTTCCTTCTCTGGGACTCTCCCGGCAGGATTAGCAACTGAGGCAGCAGGCAGGTGAGGGCATCAGGAATGCAAGGGCCAGGGAAGTGAATGGTTTGGCTAAGTGTTTCCAATGGGGAGGTGATCTTCTGCAAGGAAAAGGAGGCCAGCCCTGTGAAGAGACTGGACTTTGAAGCATTCGACAACTTGGGTGACATGAAAACAAACTTTATTAGTATATGGACAATGAACAAGAAACCGGAACGGAAAGAAAATGAAAATTCAACGTGAAACAATGGAAACACAAAGACGTTGAGCAGCAAGACAAGACCCAGTGGTCTTGGGTGGAGACAAGGTAGAAGCTAAAGAAGGCATGTGGATGTGGCTGGGGAGGAGGGCGAGGACAGGTTTGGGGTCAGCGGTGCTGAGTGGAGGCACCCATTGCACCGGATGTGGACAGGCAGGTCCAGGGCCATAGGCTGTGTCCTTGGAGGGGTGGTGTCGATGAGCACGCAGGGGCTGGTTCCTGAGACATCCTGCAGGGGAGGAGGCAGACGAAGGACCAGAGGGAGGGGGGGAGGAGCACAGTGGGGAACAGAGGTGATGGTGCACAGGTGCCTTGCAGAAGGAAAGGAAACGCTAGGGGACTATCCGGAACGATGTGGGGGGAAGCAAACAGTGTTTACAAGTGAGATATAATGTAAGAAATACAAAAAGAAGAATATCAGAAACAAGACAATCAAGCCATTGGGCTCCTCCTCCTGTCTTGGCTGCCCCGGCAGTGGGGGTGTGAACTGCCCACACTGAGCAGCCTCTGACGCATCCTGGCCTCTTGGCATCCAATCCGTATGTTTGCCGGGCTCCTGGCCTGTCCCCTGGGCTGCAGAGGAGCCCCGCTGCACTCCTGGGGAAGTTGTTAGAGATGCAATCATCCACGTGCTAACTTTGCTACAGACCACATGCTAGAGCCTGACAGGAGACCCGCCCAGGATAGCAGCCCCATGGGGGTCTCGTTCCCCACATTTGCCAACACAAGTCCCAGGTAGCACTGCTTATGGTCCATATCCTGGCCTTGTGGTCTCCTCCCTTGGCACCTGACCCTACGCCTCCCAGTCAAGTCAGGGCACCAGTTATGCCACTCACCCTCGGGCAGGTTGTCCACAGGCTTTATGGATTTCGTGACCCCAGAGCCCCCAGGATCATCGTGGGCGGTTTCCACCTGAGCCAGCAGGCCTGCTGGGCTGTCCTGTTGCTCTACCAGGGCATTTGCAGGAGATTTGCCTGTCCCTTCGGGACACCTGTTGGTGTCTGTCCTCCAATCAGTATCTTGGCCGAGCTCCCAGCCAGTCCCCAGGTCTACAGAGGAGCCCCGCTGCACTCTTGGAGAAGGCTCTACAGATACAAGAGGACCATCAGCCTCGTGCCACACTTCCAACAGACAACATGCTAGAGCCTGCCAAGAGACCAGCCCAGGGTGTGGTCCCTTGGAGGGGGTCTTGTACCCTACATTGGCAACTCCAAATCCCAGGACATACTGCTTAGGGTCCAAGTCCTGCCCATGTGTTCTCCTCCCTTGTCACCTGACCCGACCCCTCCTTGTCAAGCCAGGGCACCAGCCTGGGCCACTCACCCTCGGGCAGCTCTTCCATGGGCCCCATGTACTCCTGCCAGTTCCTATGGACAAGTGCGACGACAATCTCCATGTTGTGGGTTCTCTTCATACTGCGCTCTGCACTGCGTGGGCTGTCACACTGGGCTGTGGGAGGCCAGTTGCTGAATTGCACTCCCTGGGCCTCCTCAGTTCCCGGGACAGAGAGCACCTTCTGGGAGCAAACAGACACCGTTGGTTGGTAGCACCGAGCTGGGGCAAAAGGAAACGACCGTGACTCTCAGGGTTCCACCACCATCCAGGCTGGTCCTGGTGTAGACATGTCGCACCTCCCAGCTGGGCCAGACCCACCTGCCCTGGGCATGCACACACTCACTTTCACAGCTCGCACAGCCACAGTCACGAGGGATAGGGAGGGGTGGGGGCATCAGAGCTCTGGCCTCACCTGACTTGTCCCCAGGGCCTCCCTAGTTACCTCAGGGCCAGTGCTGCCTGCGGGTCTGCGACGGCGACACAGGCGCCTCATGCTTTCCAGTAGAGTGCGACCTGGGTTTCGCTGACCCCTGTTTTGGCCACTGCGGGGGCACCTCGGCCAACAGCATGGAAACATGTTGCCGGGTCCAGGACCACCAGGCAAGAGAGCCTGGTCGGGTTTGTGTTCTGAACCCAATTGCCTGGTGACCGGGGTTCCGAGTTCCATGCCGTGTCATCTCGCGAGGTGATGTCACTTCCCCGTCCCCTTCCCTGGACTTCCTGCTCAATGAGATAACCTCCTCCCGCATGGCTAACTGGGCCACTTCCTGTTTGCCCTCCATGCCAGGCCCAGTCCACAACACTGACAGCAGCACAGCCTCCCCGAGCCCTTGGACGGCAAGACGTAGCCAGGGCCCACTCTCTGGTCTCTGGCTGCTGACTTGGCACTACCTCCCGGCCAGGGAGCAGGCCCGGCAGCATCAGCAACTCCAGGCTCCCGTCTCCCATGGGCCCGGAGGAGCTCTAGTGTGCGGAGCCTCTCCCTGGGGCAGTCCTGGGGAGTGGGCCACTCCGCTCTGCAGCCCTTGGAGGAGGCTGGTCTCTGGCTCACTGCACTTGCATGGTCCCACCCGGGGGAGGACACCTGAACACACCTCACCCAGGCCTGGACAGCCCTGCTAGGGCCTGAGGCATCTCCCACCCATTGTGCAGGTAGCCCTGCTCCACTCTGGCCATGCCCTACAGGGCCTGGAGCGCCCAGTCAAGGTGCCGGGCCGCACTCGGTGCACACATCCGGCCACAGACTTCTCAGGGCCCCCTCCCTGCTCACACACCTGCCCACCCGCCTGGAGGTTGGATCGACTTGGAACAGGGTTCTGAGGGGGATGAGGCCGCCGAGGCATGGGGTGTCCACTCCAACGGGGAGTGATGCCAGCGAGGCCACTTCTGTCTCCTTCCCTGTCCTCCCTGGCTGCCTCTGCCCTTCTCTATCTGTCGGTCCCTCTGATTGGCTGTCTGCCTCTCTTGGTCTGTCCTCATCTCACTCTCTCTGTGTGTCCCTGCCCCTCTCAGGCTCTCCGCTGCTGCCCCTTTCCTCTGTGTCCCTGTCTCAGTCTCTCCCTCGGATCCCCAGTGTGCGGAGGCAGGCGTGCTTCCCCTCAGCTGCTCAGACAGTTTCCGGGCCTTCCAACATGCCGCTGATCGGGGTTGGAGATCCCTGTGTTTTCTGGCTGTTGGGGCAGATGCCAGAGCTTGAGGGGCTGGTGGGAAGGGTTGCTGGGAGGGGAGCTGTGCACACAGTAAGAGTGAGGACAGGAAGAGTGAAGACGCTGTGGAATGCTGTGGGGGGTGGCATCCTATTAGAGACAGGGGCCCTACCTGGCACCTCAGCGTGCGGGAGGCTGATGCCAATGACCTGGAATGGCACAATCCATTTACAGGGCGAACCACCTGGGCACTGTGCGGACACCTGAATTAGGCCACTGAGAGCAGGCCCTGAATTTGGCCCTGGAGGGTGAGGAACGTGTGTATTGAAGGAGCCTCGGTCTGAGCACATTGGGTGGACATCAAAGCACTGCGGCTGAGCGCAGGGCCTGGCAGAGGAGCAGGACAGCTCTGTGCTCTGGCTGTTCTGGCCACAGCCCAGGGGCCGGCCACGAGGGCTTCCGGTCCGGGCCTGGCCATAGGAGCCATTGTGTGGTCTGGTGTAAACAGGTTGTGCAGAAGAAATGCCCATGAGGCAGGTTCAATTCCGATCTTAACTTTACGATCTTGCCATATTGGCAGACCCCAATCAGCCAACGCTCTGCTGTGATCTACAATTCTCAAGGATGGCAGAAGGACGGATACCCTGATATCAAGACATCTGATCGTACGTGACCTAATCATTATGAGTCATCTCCTAGACAAGAATCTGTTAAGACATTGTTGAGGAGGACGGCCCATTGCAGCTCCGCTCCTTGTGACATCCTCTGGCTGAAATATCCATTCTTGGATAGACACGTGTTCATACCGAGGACGGTTAGATATGTTCATCACACTTTCCTGATGATACTGAGTATCATGATATCGAGCTCATTTGATAGATATTGGTCATTTGCCGTGCTCCACTGTGTAGCTAAACTTCCACGATTCCAAAGAATTGTTTTTCCTTGAGGAACAGAAGAGCAGGTGTGTATGCCAGAGATGTGGTGGGTGTGGGGGCCTTTGACAGGATTCACCAGAGACAGAGTGGGGAGCAGCACAGGCCAATTGACTGAAATACACTGCTGAGGGGAGCAGCGGGGACGCAGGAGAGGTCTGCTGTGCCATAGGTGGGTCCGCTTGCTGACCTGGCTCCAACTCAGGCCTCAGGGTGGCAACCCTGAGACTTTTTCCCCTAGGCCACCGTGAAGGCCCAACAACCCCAACTTGACATGTACCATGTAGACTGCCTCTGCTGGGTAGTTGGGAAGTGCCTAAAGTGCTGCCTTATTTGGTTCCTTCTCTGGGACTCTCCCGGCAGGATTAGCAACTGAGGCAGCAGGCAGGTGAGGGCATCAGGAATGCAAGGGCCAGGGAAGTGAATGGTTTGGCTAAGTGTTTCCAATGGGGAGGTGATCTTCTGCAAGGAAAAGGAGGCCAGCCCTGTGAAGAGACTGGACTTTGAAGCATTCGACAACTTGGGTGACATGAAAACAAACTTTATTAGTATATGGACAATGAACAAGAAACCGGAACGGAAAGAAAATGAAAATTCAACGTGAAACAATGGAAACACAAAGACGTTGAGCAGCAAGACAAGACCCAGTGGTCTTGGGTGGAGACAAGGTAGAAGCTAAAGAAGGCATGTGGATGTGGCTGGGGAGGAGGGCGAGGACAGGTTTGGGGTCAGCGGTGCTGAGTGGAGGCACCCATTGCACCGGATGTGGACAGGCAGGTCCAGGGCCATAGGCTGTGTCCTTGGAGGGGTGGTGTCAGTGAGCACCCTGGATTTTGCGGCAGGATCCCTGCAGGGGCTGGTTCCTGAGACATCCTGCAGGGGAGGAGGCAGACGAAGGACCAGAGGGAGGGGGGGAGGAGCACAGTGGGGAACAGAGGTGATGGTGCACAGGTGCCTTGCAGAAGGAAAGGAAACGCTAGGGGACTATCCGGAACGATGTGGGGGGAAGCAAACAGTGTTTACAAGTGAGATATAATGTAAGAAATACAAAAAGAAGAATATCAGAAACAAGACAATCAAGCCATTGGGCTCCTCCTCCTGTCTTGGCTGCCCCGGCAGTGGGGGTGTGAACTGCCCACACTGAGCAGCCTCTGACGCATCCTGGCCTCTTGGCATCCAATCCGTATGTTTGCCGGGCTCCTGGCCTGTCCCCTGGGCTGCAGAGGAGCCCCGCTGCACTCCTGGGGAAGTTGTTAGAGATGCAATCATCCACGTGCTAACTTTGCTACAGACCACATGCTAGAGCCTGACAGGAGACCCGCCCAGGATAGCAGCCCCATGGGGGTCTCGTTCCCCACATTTGCCAACACAAGTCCCAGGTAGCACTGCTTATGGTCCATATCCTGGCCCTGTGGTCTCCTCCCTTGGCACCTGACCCTACGCCTCCCAGTCAAGTCAGGGCACCAGTTATGCCACTCACCCTCGGGCAGGTTGTCCACAGGCTTTATGGATTTCGTGACCCCAGAGCCCCCAGGATCATCGTGGGCGGTTTCCACCTGAGCCAGCAGGCCTGCTGGGCTGTCCTGTTGCTCTACCAGGGCATTTGCAGGAGATTTGCCTGTCCCTTCGGGACACCTGTTGGTGTCTGTCCTCCAATCAGTATCTTGGCCGGGCTCCCAGCCAGTCCCCAGGTCTACAGAGGAGCCCCGCTGCACTCTTGGAGAAGGCTCTACAGATACAAGAGGACCATCAGCCTCGTGCCACACTTCCAACAGACAACATGCTAGAGCCTGCCAAGAGACCAGCCCAGGGTGTGGTCCCTTGGAGGGGGTCTTGTACCCTACATTGGCAACTCCAAATCCCAGGACATACTGCTTAGGGTCCAAGTCCTGCCCATGTGTTCTCCTCCCTTGTCACCTGACCCGACCCCTCCTTGTCAAGCCAGGGCACCAGCCTGGGCCACTCACCCTCGGGCAGCTCTTCCATGGGCCCCATGTACTCCTGCCAGTTCCTATGGACAAGTGCGACGACAATCTCCATGTTGTGGGTTCTCTTCATACTGCGCTCTGCACTGCGTGGGCTGTCACACTGGGCTGTGGGAGGCCAGTTGCTGAATTGCACTCCCTGGGCCTTCTCAGTTTCCGGGACAGAGAGCACCTTCTGGGAGCAAACAGACACCGTTGGTTGGTAGCACCGAGCTGGGGCAAAAGGAAACGACCGTGACTCTCAGGGTTCCACCACCATCCAGGCTGGTCCTGGTGTAGACATGTCGCACCTCCTAGCTGGGCCAGACCCACCTGCCCTGGGCACGCACACACTCACTCTCACAGCTCGCACAGCCACAGTCACGAGGGATAGGGAGGGGTGGGGGCATCAGAGCTCTGGCCTCACCTGACTTGTCCCCAGGGCCTCCCTAGTTACCTCAGGGCCAGTGCTGCCTGGGGACCTGCGACGGCGACACAGGCGCCTCATGCTTTCCAGTAGAGTGCGACCTGGATTTCGCTGACCCCTGTTTTGGCCACTGCGGGGGGACCTGGGCCAACAGCATGGAAACATGTTGCCAGGTCCAAGACCACCAGGCACGTGAGCCGGGTCGGGTTTGTGTTCTGAACCCAATTGCCAGGTGACCGGGGTTCCGAGTTCTGTGCCGTGTCATCTCTCGAAGGTGATGTCACTTCCCTGTCCCCTTCCTGGACTCCAGGAGACACATGCCCCCCGCCTTGGCTTCATGGGCCACTTCCTTTTCGCCCTCCATGCCAGGCCCTGTCCACAACACTGCAGCAGCACAGCCTCCCCAAGCCCTTGGATGGCTCCATGCAGGCAGGATCCAGCTGGGGACCCAAGTCTCTTGCTGGTGACCTGGTGGTCTGACCTGCCAGGTAGCAGGCCCTGTGTTAATGGCTCCTCCATTATCCTGTCTCCCATGGGCCGGGAAGGGCAGTGTTTAGCCTCTCCCTGGTGCTGTCCTTGGGATGGGTCACTCCTCTCTGCTGCCCTTGGAGGTGAGGCTGGTCTCAGGCTCATTGCACTTGCGGGTCCTATCTGGGGGAGGGCACCTGCACGTGCCTCACCCAGACCTGGCCAGCACTGCTGTTGGCTCAGTCATTTCCCACCCTGTTTACTGTCCTCCCGCAAGTGTGGAATCTGCCTGAACTCAGCTCTGCTCCTCTCTGGCTATGCCCTACTGGACCCATTGGGCCCAATCAATTTGCCAGGCCACACACAGTGCTTATGTGCCAGCTACAGAGTGTCAGGGTTCCCTCCCTGTTAATATACCTTCTGACCCTGCTCTGAGCAGGGTTGGGGGGTTATGTATTGACTTGGGACTAGGTTCTGATTGGGATGATGAGGCCCACGGCATGGGATTTCCACTCCAACAGTGAGTGATGCCAGAGCAGCCACTTTTATTTCCTTCCTGTTCTGATTCCTCACTAGCTGACTCTCCCTTTCTCTGTCTCTATGTCCCTCTCACTCGGACTCTCTCTCCCTTTCTTGGTCTGTCCTCAACTCCTTCTCTCTCTGTCTCAATCCTTACCTTCATGCCTGTTTCTGCCCCATTGTTCTGTGTCCCCCTCTGTTTCTCTCTGAGATCCCTTGTGTTGCTGAGCCATGCTCGCTCCCCTTCGCTGATCAGACAGTCCCCAGGCCTTGCAACATCCTAGTGAGAGCAAGTTGGTTATGCCAGGGGTCTTCTGGCTGATGGGGCATAGCGTCAGAGGTGAGGGGCTGGCAGGATAAGGTTGTTGGGTGGGGATGTGTAGTTGGGCACTAGGTTCTACAGTGAGGGCAGTGAGAGATAGGGGATGACTGCACCCTAATGGGGATAGGGGCCCTTCCTGTCTCCAGGGTGCTTGAATGCTGATGCAAATGACCTGGAATGCCTCAATCCTTGTAGAGGGCGAACAACTTGGGCACCGTGATCAAGAGCTTAATTGGCCATGTAGAATGGTGAAAAGTTGTATTATGCATCTTCCGTTGAACACATTGGGTTCAGACATCAGAAAGCACTGAAAGTGAACAGAGGGTCTGCAGGAGGTATGGGACAGCTCTGCGCTCTGGCTTTTCTGGCTGCAGCACAGGCACTAGTTTTGAGGGCTGCTGGTCCAATTCTGGCCATTTTGGTGCCTGCAAACAGGGTTCTGTGAAGAACTGCCCATGAGGCAGTTTCACTTCGTATATTTACCGTAGGATCATGCTTTATGTGCAGGCCCAAATCAGTCAACTGTGTTGTGTGATCAACAATTTTCCGAGGCTAGTCTAATGACACATAATCTGATATTAAGCTCTCTATTATTCAATCATGATCTCATGTGACCTAATAATTATAAATAATCTCATAGGCAATAATCAATTCACAGAAATTATAGGCTGGAAATTCCATTATAGCTCTTTTGTTAATGTCATCCTCTTCCTAAATATACATTCTTGTATAGACTCATGTTCATAACATGGACTATTGTATACGTTAATAATACTGTCCTTATTACACTGACTGTAATGATATAAAGCTGATTTGATTAGATATTAGTCATTTTACCCTACTCCACTGTGTACCTAAAATTAAAAGAGATCCCAAATATTTTTTTCTTTGTGTGTAGAAGAACTTTGGTATATGCCAGTGTTGAGGGTTGACAGTATTCACCAGAGATAGAGTGGGGAGCAGAATAGGCAGATTTACTGAAATGCAAAGCTAAGGGGAACAGCGGGTAAGACAGTAGATTTGCCTGGCCATAGGTGGGTTAGCTTTTTGGCTGGGGCTCAATCTCAGGCCTCAGGGGTGATAGCACTGAGACTTAACCCTTAGACTACCAGGGCAGCCCTTATAATGGGAAAAATCTTGAAGGACTACTCCAGTGAACACGTGGGTAGTGGGAAATTGAAAAAGCCTTGTTGGTAATGCAGAGATCACAGAGTGGCATGTATAGGAAATCAAACCAGTTGCAAAATTCCTTTATGCCAAAGCTTATCCCAGGTTAGGCCTTAACTCTTTTTCATTCCGTTAAGGCTAAGTGCAGTGAGGAAGCTGCTGAAGAAAACTCTGAAACTATGTTGGCTCTTGAAGTTAAGGAAAGAAGACACCTCTATAACATAAAAAGAGGCTATTGGGTATGATCCAGAACATCTAGCTAATATCATGTATAAATGTGGCTACACTAAACAACTGATTTTCAATGCACATTAAATAGCCTTCTATTTAACAAAGATAACATCTAGGACTTTCCTAGTTAGAAAGCAGAAGTCAATATTCAGCTTAAAATCTTCAAAAGGCAGCCTGACTCTCTTGTTAAAGACTAATGCAATTGGTGAATTAAGTTCAAACCAATGCTCTCTTAACATTCCAAAAAACTTAGGGTGTTTAAGAATTGTGCAAAATCAACCATTTCCATGCTTTACAAATAGAAAAACAAGCCTGGATGACAGAGTATCTTTACAGGACTTAGTTTACTTTAAGCCCACTTTTGAAACTGTTTAGAGAAATAGATTCCTTTTAAATGTTACTACTGCTCATCGACAGTGCACCTGGTCACCCAAGAACTCTGTTGGAAATATACCCAACAATGAATGTTGTTTTCTTTTTTTTTAAAGATTTATTTACTTATTTATACAAGAACCAGGGTACAGTTAGAAGCGCAGGAGGGTGAGAGAATTCACCAGAGTCAGAGCAGGGAGCAGAACAGGCAGACTGATGAAGTACACTGCTGAGGGGAGCAGCAGGTGCTGCAGGAGAGGTCTGCGTGCCATGTGGGACCCTCACCGGCAGCTGGGGATTGAACTAGTGCTGCAGAGGCTGCGGGCAGCTTCGCAGCCCAGCGCTCAACCGCTGTGCCACGGGGGAGGTCCGAATGTTGTTTTCATGTAGTGCTAACACTACATCCATTCTGCAGTCCATGAGACAAGGAATCATTTGTACTTTCAAGTTTTCCATTTAAAAAATACAATGTGTGAGGCTATAGATGCCTTAAATAATATTCCTCTGTGGATCTGGACAAAATAAAATGAAAACCTTTTGGAAAGGATTCACAATTCTACATGTCATCAGGATCATTTGTGATTCATGGTAGGAGGTGAAAATATCAACATAAACAGGACTTTGGAAGAAGCAGATTCCAACTCCCATAGATAACTTTCAGGGATTCAACAGAAGTAGCAGCAGACGTGCTAGAAATAGCAAGAGAACGAGAATTAGAAGTGGTGCCTGGATATGTGGCTGAATTGCTGCAATCTCATGATAAAACATGAATGGATGAGGAGTTGCTTCTTAGCAATAAGCAAAGAAAGTGGTTTCTTGAGATGGAATCTACTCCTGGTAAAGATGCTATGAACATTGTTGAAATGAAACAAAGAATTTAGAAGATGACGTAAAATTAGTTAATCAAGCAGTGGCTGAGTTTGAAAGGATTGACACCAATTTTATTTATTTATTTTTTTAAAGATTTATTTATTTATTTATACAAGCACTGGGTACAGTCAGAAGCGCAGGAGGGTGAGAGAATTCACCAGAACCAGAGCGGGGAACAGAACAGGTAGAGTGACAAAGTACACTGCCGAGGGGAGCAGTGGGCACAGCAAGAGAGGTCTGTGCGCCATGTGGGACCCTCACCGGTGGCCGGGGATCGAACTGGCATTGCAGAGGCTGTGGGCAGCTTCACAAGCCAGTATTCAACTGCTGCGCCACCAGGGAGGCCCTAATTGACTCCAATTTTAAAAGAAGTGCCTCTGTGTGCAAAATACCATCAAGTAGTATAGCATCCTACAGAGACATCTTTCATAAAATAGAGTCAAACTCTGAGGCAAAACTCATTGTTGTATTTTCTGAAGAAATTGCCACAGTCACCCCAAACTTCAGTAACCACTACTCTAGCCAGTCAGCAGCCATCAACCAGAAGTCCTTTCAATAGCAAAAAGATTAGAACTTGCAGAAGGCTCAGATGATAGTTAGCCTTTTTTAGCAATACAGTTATCTTTTAAATTAAGGTTTGAGCACTTCTTTTATAGTTGTAATGCTATTGCATACTTAACAGACTATGGTATATGTGCTGGGAAACAAAAAACAAATCACATGACTTTAATTTGTGATACTGACTTTATTGCAGTGATCTGGAATCAACCCTTAATATCTCCAAATTGTACAGGTATATGATCGATCACTGCTGTGTCTTTCCAATTTTATGATTTGATAATGCCCCATTTTTGATTGGCAGCTAAGATTTCATAGTCATTTAATGGTTCATGGCAGGTGCTCAGTCTCCACTAGGGCTTAGCAGCACTCATGAGCTGCTTTTTCAAATGATGAGTAAATCTCTGCTGCAAAAATCATGATCTTGCTCCAGAAACCTAGGATCTATGCTATGATTTTCCTATTAGGATTTTCAAGAAACTCTATACAACTATCTTTAACTACTGTGGATACTTCTAGCGTTATGAGATCTGCTGGGTTATATGACCCAAATGGCAGGATAGCTGGTCCCAAAGCCTGGGCCTGTGCAGAGCCTTTGCTCAGGCAACAGGATTCTGGGTATCCAATCCAAAGGTAAAGATAGTCTTCCAAAAAATGTTAAATGCATATTTTAAAGTTGAAAGAAGCACAAGTACAGTGT